CTCTCTCTCTCTCTCTCTCTCTCTCTCTCTCTCTCTCTCTCTCTCTCTCTACCATTTCTAGCCGATCGACCTGCCGTTCAACAGTCACAATCTGATCACCGTCACTCGTCACTCGGATCTCGTTTTATTTGCAGCGGAAGGATCGGATGTGCGTAATTCGATTCATGCAGCTGTCTTATTTGCTTATCGGGCATGGAATTGAATTGTTGTGCGTCTGTCGTTGCACCTTCTTCTACAAGTAATCCATGGAGGAGTTCCTTTCAAGTGTAAGATTGAACATCTCAAACTGCCCGTCAGCATACAGACAGGAGTGCAAGTGGGTAAAACGTTGGATCTCACGACCCAACCTTCTTTTTGCTCGCGTATCTTGCAATTGTATTATGTATGCATAGCGGACAGTAAGTAGCTCATACCTCCAGTGAATTAGGAATGTCACACGTATCACTATTATGGCCGAAGATGCTAATATTGATGATCCATTTTTGATAGCTCGGCTATCTATTTCCCTTTGGGGGTCCAAACCAAACGAAATGAAATGGGACGCAGTCATTTCTTTGCGGTTTGTAAGAACACTTCAATAACCCAAAAGATGCTAAGGAGCTCTTTCCTGTCATTTCATTTACTAACTTGACATGGAACAAATTATGCCTCGGCGGTCTTAGGGCGAAAGCTCAGGAAGAAATGTCTTCCACAGCAGAAATCATAATAAATTAGGAATACAATGGCCATTGCTGCATTTGCTGAAAACTTCACCAAGAAACGCATGATCATGATTCCTAATGGGATCGGCAAAAAATTGAGCGCTTGATTTCATTCTTCTATGTCAAAATTGTTTGCCTAAATCAATCTTTTTCACAAGGCGTAAAGTGGTGTGCAAAATGGAGTCCAGTATTCCTGCAACCTGAAAATTCAAAGTAACAATTCAGCAAAGTCTGCGTTCTGAAGAATAACCCAAGGCAACAAAAAGCATGCATCATCAGCTGAGCAGAACAGGTGCACACCGTGAATACACCTCCAATGATGGCACAAACATTGGTGACGAAGTGAGAGAAGGATTTCGGGACTTCAGTTACCAAAACCTGGTATATGTAGATCAGCATCTCACAATATGGATTATCTAAATTTTGTTCAAGTTGATAAAGCAACAGATGCCAACCTGCATGGGAGAAGGCTCAAAATGGAATTTGGCTACAGGAATGTATAGACTGTGCACCAAACTACTGTGGGCTGTGTACTCATACTCCTCGAGCAATTTGAGTTCCTGAGAAGATCCTCTCGACACTATTTCAGTCTTTACAACTTGGAGATAATGCTCAATCTGCAAATTTAGACGAAGACCATAGTCAGAATTTATCGAGTAGTCAGAAAGTTTATCTGTAACTCAACTTCAAAAATCTGTGTTTTAAGCTACACAAATAAAGGTGGCATCAAACACCACCCACGTTTTTCTTTTTGTTGCTGCTCTGTTCTTGTGGTTTGCAAAACATCTTCATTATCAAATGTTAATCTTGATCAAAACAGTTATTTGATAGCAAGAAAGATCTAGGCTAATTTAGAATGGCAAACAAAAAGCCTGTCTCCTTTCTCCATGCAAATTCTTAATAGGTAAATTATGTTTAATGGCTTCCATAAATGGCCATCTATGTTTAACTATCGTGAAAAGCATCAGTGAGAAGATACAAGAAAGGACAAGATCACTTCTTTTTGGTTAGTATATCATGATTTGGATTTACAGTCACTTGACATCAAACAAGCTGCCTGGGGAGAAGGATGATGGAGAATCCTAAAGAAGAAAACTATAAAGCAACAGAAGAGATGTTATTGAAACTTACAGTAACATTTGCATTAGCATGGTCATGATTAATAATATATGATCGGCCCATCAACCGATCATGACTTCCGCCAAGATATGGTGTTAGTCTCTTCACTTCAAACAGCATCCTCTGCGAGAGCTTTTTACCAAAAGAAAATTGTGAAATAACATGCGAGACATTTATCTGAGATGGATCGAAGGAGTGTGATCCAGAGTGAGCTGAGATGACAAGAGTGCCAGGAACCTGAATAATTAGCAAACAAAAGCAAACTTTAAAATTAAGCCAAAAGAAAAAAAAACTTGCATCTCTAGTTTATCATGTAAAAGTGAATATACAAGCATGAAACTTAAACAATTAAATATAAACAAACACCAAGTATTTTTGACATATATGCATTGGAACAGTATAGAGTTATGCCATAAAACGATCAACAAACTCAAGTTCAACAAAGTAACATGTGGCTTGTATGTACAAGTAAACAAGCAGAAAGCACTTATAAGTCACCCAGTTTAGCTGAACAAAAAATAAGGTCTGCTACCTCTTGTTACAGTTGTCCATTGTCTAAAGAAAAGATGTAATCAATGATATTTGAACTGCACATTATCTCATACAGAAGTGACAAGGTGGTTACCTTCTTAACACGTACAAATCCTTCTATTCTACATCCACTAGTCAATGGTGCAGGACGTTTTGCTGTCTCCACAGAGTGATTTGACTCATCAGCCAATGCCATATTACTAGAGTATCTTGGAATGGGAGCAACAAGAGTTTCCATTGCCTAAATTTTTTCCAATTCAACAATAAGTTCATAGAGTCTTAGTTTGGTGAATGAGATCAAAGAACCTCAATTTTATAAACATGAAACAGCATAAGAAAATAATGTTAAATAATAGCATCAGCAATTAAATAATTCAACTAGAGCAACCAGCATATACCGCTACTAAACTATCTGTGTCACGCTCTCCATAATAAGATTCATGTTCATCGTGTCCGTGGTTTTCCCTGTGACATTTGCCAATGTAACAGAAATTACTGAAAGTAAAACATATCTAGTAATCAAAGGGATTCTGTAATTTCAGATTTTCTAGTGGATTTCAAAAAAGAATCAGAAGTTACTAGAAAAGTTGAATGAAAATCTACTTTCAGCTTATCAGAACTGCGGTCAATAAGCATAAAATTGTTGCACACAAGAAAGAAAGAGAATGTTAGAAGCCATAAGATGCACCAAATTTCATGGAATGTGTAATTCATGCCCATCTTTAAAATGATCGTACAGGCCATCAGCAGAAACAGAGTTAAACAAAAGGTTGCATTTGTTCGCCTTCTTGAATCAATAAATGAACATAAGCACTTAAGACTCATCTTGGAAGCAACATATGAAAATATCCTGACTCCAAATCCACTGGCATGATTTATCAAACGAAAGATAGTGCCCTTGATCAATCCATTGAACAACTCTAATGATGTGAACAAATCCATGTGAAAGAATCTCCTGTCATCCTCACCAGTGATTTAAAAAGACGCTCGGGCGCTCTCCTAGGCGCTCGGGCGAGACGAGGCGAGGCCCGAGCGCCTAGCTTCACTTCCGAGCCCAGGCGTTGGGCGCTTCGGGCGAGCGCCTGGGTTAAACCAGGCGACCGAACCAGCGTTTTAGGTTTGGTTCGGTCTCCGGTGCTTTAGTTGGTTCAATCGAACCAACTAAAGCACCGATATCAGCTGTCGCTGCCCAACCCTAACCCTGCTAGTTGCCGCTGCCGCTCCCGATTATTTTGATTTTAATACTGTTAATTTTTATTTATTTGAAATTATTGTTAGGTTTTAAGATAAATGACAAATGTACAGAGCAACTCAATAGAGTCTCCAATGACATCAAAAAAAGATCATGCATGGAAGTATAATTATCTGAAGGATCCGAAAGATCCTAATGCAGTGACTTGCATATTTTGTGATAAGACTACTAGAGGTGGTATTTTTCGTGCAAAACAACATCTAGTAGGAAATTTCAAGAATGCAGCAGCTTGCAAAAAGTGTCCACCTGAGATAAAAGAAGAGTTGCTGGGTTATATGAATGAAAAAAAGACACAAAAGAATGAATCTTACGGGAATTTACCAGAAGACAATATTGAACATCTCAGGGATGAAGAAGAAGACTATTTTATGAGTATTAACCTAAGTGAAAAAAAAATATACGATAAAAAAGGAAAAGAAGTTACGAGTACTCACAAGGGTAAAAAAGGACCGATGGATCTATATATGTTTCAAGGATCCCAGAAACAACAAGGACAAGCAAGAGGCTCAAAATTTAGACAAACAAATATAAGTTATGCTTGTGATAAAGAAGTAAGAGGAAGAACAATTCAGCACATTGCTCGCTTCTTCTATCAGGCTGGTCTTCCCCTTAGTACAACTTGTTTAGACAGTTTTAAGGATATGATTGAAGCTATTGGAAGATATGGTGCAAGATTAAAACCTCCAAGTTATTATGAGATGCGAGTTCTATTGTTGCAAAAAGAGTTGAATTATACAAATGACTTATTAAAGGGTCATAAAGAATCATGGGCAACACATGGTTGCTCTATTATGTCAGATGTTTGGACTGACAGGAGGCGCAGGAGAATAATTAATTTTATAGTTAATTGTTCTTTAGGGATTATGTTTATGAAGTCAATAGATGCTTCATCTTTTGTAAAATCCGGAGACAAGATATATAATTTACTTGACAACTTCGTGGAAGAAATTGGAGAACAAAATGTCGTTCAAATCATAACCGAAAATGGAAGCAACTATGTATTAGCTGGTAATATTCATCTTTTAAATTTGTTAATTATTTTATCTTTAATTAAATGTGTTAAACTCTTAAGTCTTATCATTTTTGCTATCCTTTGTCTTAAGTAAATTACTTGAAACAAAAAGACAACACTTATATTGGACTCCATGTGCAACACATTGTATTGATTTAATGTTGGAGGTATTTGGAAAGAACTTAGACATCAAGAAAACCTTAGAAATGACAATTTTTGTTGTTGGATTTCTTTATAATCATATTGGGGCTTTGAATGATGAGAGAATTTACAGGGAACAAAGAATTAATAAGATATGGTGTCACCCGATTTACTACTTCATTCTTGACATTATAGAACGTGCATCGTCAAAAACATAATATGAGAAACATGTTTACCTCTAAGAAATGAGTGATAAGCAAATTGGCAAAAGAAGCAAAAGGCAAGAGGGCTACTGATATCATCTTAATGTCATCCTTTTGGAATCATGTAATTTATATATTAAAGGTAATGGGCCCTCTTGTTCGAGTCCTTCGGTTGGTGGATAATGAAAATAAGCATACAATGAGATATATTTATGAGGTTATGGATAAAGCAAAGAAGACGATTAAAAGATCTTTTAATGAAAATAAAGAAAAATATGAGAAATTTTTTACAATCATTGACGAAAGATGAAATTATCAACTTCATCGTCCCTTACATACAACAGGATATTATTTGAACCCTGAATTCTTTTATAAGATTAAATCTGTTGGGTTTGATGCAGAAGTTTTGGATGGGTTATATCAGTGCGTTGCAAGATTAGTTCTCAGCCTTGAGGTTCAAGATAAGATTATTCGTGAATTATCTTTATATAAAAATGCTGAAGGTCTTTTTGAAATTCCAATGGTCGTTCGATCCAGGACAACTACGTCTCCAGGTATTAATAATTTGATATAATTAATTTCATATATATTATGTTACTATGTTATTGCTAATAACATAAATTTTGCAGCTGAATAGTGGAGTCTATTTAGAAATTCCACCCCGAACTTACAGCAATTTGCTATCAAAGTACTTGGTTTGACATGTAGTGCTTCGGGTTGTGAGCAAAACTGGAGTGTCTTTGAGCATGTAAGGATCACTAAATATTTTTGTTTTAATTTATTTATTTATTTAGATAGATGTATTAATATATTTTTAAATTATATGACATGACAGATTCACTCAAAGAGAAAAAATCGGTTAGAACATCAATGATTGCATGATCTTGTTTGTATAAAGTATAATCAAGCTTTGAAGACTCATCATGATTTACAAAATAGAATTGATCCAATCTCATTGCAAGATATTGATGATTCAAATGAGTGGTTGGTGGGAGAAATAGGTGCTAACTTGCAAGATGCCGAAGATAAGCTTGTATTTAAAGATGATAGATTGACATGAGAAGATGTGGCAAGAGCTTCAGGTGCTGGAGAATTACAAACATATACAAGACAGATGACAAAGAGAAAAATGAGAGCAAAAGCATCAAGCTCGACTTCTGCTATTGTTGAAGACATAGAGAATGAAACATATTTTAATGAAGAAGAAGGAGTCGAAGGACAAGAGGAAGAGGACGAATTCAATGAAGATGATTTATGTGAAAATGACAATATTGATTATGATTAATGACGTTGTTGTAAAATTTTATTGTTTTGAATTTTGAAACTTTTTGTTAATGTGACATTATGATTTTGTATCTTAGATTTTCTTAATTTAATAGCATATTTTTATTTAACATTTTAAATAATTATATTTATTAATTATATTATATATTATTATATTTTGGCGTCTCACTTCGCTCGGGCGAGCGCCTAACGCCTCGGGAGTTTTTGAACCTTAGCACCTTTTGGCGCCTAGCGTTTTTTAAATCATTGATCCTCACTTCATTCCTCCTTTTTTTTTCACCCAATCTACCTTGGGTTGGGTGTTACCTTAGTGGCACTATTCCTCTTTATCAAACCCATTGTTAAGATGCTAACATCAATAATTTTAATTATCCACACAAGGCCAAGATCAGCACACCACAAGCAGAGGACCCATTAGCTAACAATGATGTGCAAGAGTTCGAGGATTACAAGACTTCTCTATTTAATACCCAATCCGTGATAGCAGGAACCATAACAGCAATGTATTCAGTAGTTATAATGATGGAAAGGGGTCACATATTCTATGACAGAGCAGTGTACAGTTGGACAAGGAGCATGGATATACTGTGCCACTAAGGAAATTATCATGGGTCCACATCCACCATAAAAATTTATGAAGGCAAGGGTCAGAGGAAGACTGTTGATGACTTTAAGAGATGCGAAAGCTTAGCTGAGGTCAAGTCAGAGATACTTTTCTTCTCATCACAACCTTCCTACCAATGCATATTTCATGGGCCACATATAACATCAATAATTGGTCCAAATTTGTTATATTTGAAGCTTGTATGGCTATTAACAACAATTAATGATGATAGGTGTACTATTCACCAGTCATCATAATTGTACTACATACAATTGGTTTCACATCAGCAACCACAATGCTCCTAAACCTATTATGCTGATATAGCAAATGCTACCAAAACCAAATTTAGTGACCAAGATGCTACATACATCACTGATTGATTCAACAGTGGCAAAATAGTTCATTAATATCAAATGGAGGTAAGAGAAATCAAGGAATGCCGTAGCATAATGGATCCATACCAGTTCGACCATGTACCATACCACTACATCCTACCATTTCAAAGATGAAGGAGAAGAGCAAGGCACGGTGGAGGAGGAAGCAGAAAGAATAAAAAAGAGGAAGGCATAGTGGAGGAGGAAGAAGAATAAAAAGGAAGATGAAGGAAGAAGAAGCCTGTGGAGGATGAGAAAGGAGAAGGGAGCATTGGAGGAGAAAGAAGGAAGGAAGAAGAGAAGGGAGCATACTAGGAAGGTAGGTGGTGGCAAACGACAGTGGACGAAGAACGAAGAAGAGGAGGGAGCGTCCTAGCAAGGTAGGCGGCAACGAACAATAGCGGTGACGATTACGAACAACAGTAACGAGGCGACGTCGTTTCCACATGGCCTGCGAGAAGAGCGCTCATGTTCGTGAGCCCTAATCAATGTTTAATTTTTTTTGTTGTTTTTATATTAAGTTGGACTGGATCACTCGAAACAGGGTAGTCCGCATACCGCTCCACACCTGGATCGATACATACCGCCTATTTTG